TGCATACGGAACATCCTACATCTCTACCAAAATCTATTAGAACTGTCAAAATGCAAAAGGGATAAAGGAAAATAAGAGAAGGGAGGGTAAAAAGTGAAGGAATTTAAAGAAGAAGCATATTACATTATGAAAAAGCATCCCCAAGATGACTATATGTTTATTGAAAACATGTACTAATAAAATGAAATTTAAAAAGAAAAAAATTAGTAAAGTTGGAAGAAAAAATTTACAAACAACAATCAGCACCATTTCTGGAGAATAATAATAATGAGCCTTCTGGAAAAAAAAAGACAGCAATCCCTTTATAGTAGCAACAACAAAATCTCATATTGAGGTATAAAGTTAACCAGAAAGGTAAGATATCTACACACTGAAAATTATAAAACATTGATGAAAGTAATTGAACAATTAGATATTCCATATTCAAATTGGAAGAATATTGTAAAAATGTCCATATTGCAAAAATGATATACAGATTCAGTATAATTTCTATTCAAATTCTGATGATGTTATTCACATAAATTAAAACTACTACTAAATTTTTCATAAAACTACAAAAGAATCAAAATAACTTAGCAATATTGACAAAAACAGAACAAAGCTAAATGTATTATAAATCTTAATTTTAAAAGATACTCCATTTTCAATATTTCTGGGCAAATACCTAGAAGGTGAATAGCTAAATTGAATGAGACTTCCATTCTTTTTTGAGAAACCTCCACTCTGATTTCCACAGTAGTTGTACCAGTCTACACTCCCACCAACAGTAAAGAAGGGTTGCTTTTTCCCCACAGCCCCATCAACATTTGTTATTGGTTAATTTCTTGATGGTGGCCATTTTTTCTTGAGTGAGATGGAATCTCAATGTTGTAATTTACATTTCTTTAGTGACCAGTGCTGTTGAATATTTTTCATATATTTATTTGCCATTTGTATTGCTTTATCTGAGAAGTGTGTGTGTTGATCTCAGATGACCATTTTTGGATTGGATCTTTAAATTTGGGGGGAGGCTGATGTTTTTCAGTTCTTTATATGTTCTAGATATTAAATCCTTTGAGGAACAGCTGAGTAAAATTCTTTGTGCTTTTCCTTTATTCTGTGGGTTTTCCTTCATTCCACTGTTGATTTGTTTTGAAGCGCAAAAGATTTTTACTAAGAAGAGATACTAGTTGCTGATTCTTGGAAGTATTTTCAGTGCAGTTGGTGTTTTGTTCATAAACTCTTTGCCTACCCCTGCATCTTCAAGATTTCTTCCTACTTTATCCTCCAATAGATTTAGTATGTTTTAATATTTAGATCTTTGATCCATTGTGACCTTCATGCCACAGCAATATATATGCACCTATGTTTATAGCAGCACAATTTGTAATGGATAAATCTTGGAAACAACAAAAATGCCCATGAACTAGAGAATGGATAAAAAGACGTAATACTTTTATAAAATGGAGTAATTTATAAAATCACTCAGCTATAAAAAGAATAATCTTTAGGATTTAATAGGTAAATGGAGTCAACAAGACTATACTCATAAGTGAAATAAATCAAACTCACATTTATAAATATCATATTGTCTTCCTAGTGTAAAAAATAATACATAAAAAACTGAAAGAGTAATAAGATCCAAAATGTATAATAGATACTGTAAGAATGAAAGGGAAAGAAAGTGCTCGAAAGGAAAGAACAACTGGGATGGGGAAAGACAAAAAGGAAGAAAGGAAAAAAAAATATATATATATGTGTGTGTGTGTGTATATATATATATATACACACACACATACATATATATAACTGTGTGTATATGTATATAAGGTAGATGACTATACTATTAATCTTGGTTAATTCATTAAAAAGAACATTTTGTGTTGTCACTGTCTGATCATTTTTTGTAACCTGAACAAGTAGTACTGAGGAAACAATATGCAATATATTAACTAAAAAACAAGATATTATAAATCAATTATAGTCAAAATATTTCACAAGCATAAAAACAAGTACTAACAAATATAAAAGGACAGGAAACTTAGAATTAAAATTACAGATTTACAGTACATTTATTATTAACAAGTGTGCCAGGACTACATATGGGGAAAGTACCATCTCTACAATAAACTGTGTAGAAAAAAATTGGACATACACCTACAGAATGAAATTAGATCCTTATCTTGTGGAATATAGAAAATTGACTCAAAATGCACTACGTACAAACATAAAGGCCTATAACTGTAAAACTAGTACAAGAAAATTAAGGAGAAAGTCTCTGTGATCCTGGACTGAGCAATGACTGTCTGGATGTAGTTCTGAAAGCACAAGGTAATAAGTGTAAAATTTACAACTGGGATGGCATAGCACTGAGAAGTACCTATACAGTAAATGAAATAATGAAGAACACTCATGAAATGGGAGAAAATATTTGCACATATGCATCTGATAATGGATCAAACATGCAAAATATAAGGAAATCAAAGAATCCAATAGCAAAGGGGAAAAGCCAATTAAAACGGATCAAGGACCTGAACAGACATTTCTCAAAAGAAGACATGCAAATGGCTAACAGCTACACAAAAGTGGAGGCAAGGGCTAGATCTACACATGTCAGAATGCCTATGATAAAAAGATGGAACATAACAGGTATAGAAAAGTGAACTCTTGTACTATTATTAGGAATCTAAAATAGTACAAGCATAATGGAAACAGTAAGTTTCTCAAAAACTAAAACAGAACCACCACAGGAAAAAGAAATCCCTCTTCTGGGTTTATACCCAAATGAACTGAAATCAAGGTACAAAGGCCATCTGTACTCCCATGCTCACTGTGGCTCTAACCACATTAGCCAAGATAGGGAAAGAACCTATATGTCCGTCAACAGCTGAGTGCATAGAGAAACTTATAGTTATACAGACACAACTGAAGGTTATTCAGCCCTAATACGGGGAAATCTTATCACATGTGACATTGTGGATAAAACTGAAGATTGTGCTAAAAAATGTATGCCAGGCATAAAAAAGACAAATATCACAAGATTTCACTTATATGTATAAATAACTAAGTTGAATTCAGAAGTAAAAGCAGAAAAATGATAATTATTTGCAGGAATGGGGAAAGCGGGTAAATGGGAAGTTGTTGATTGAAGGGTAAAAATTTTCATATTGACATAAGGAAGAGCTATTGAAGTGTATTGCACACCTGGAAGACTTGTGCACTTATTAATGTATTACAAATTTCAAAATAAGAGTGGATTTCAAATGTCACACCATAGAAATAATACATACATGGAGTGATGTAATGGCACCAGGCAATCATGGCACTATGTATATATACATCAAAATATCACTTTATGCCCTATAAAGGTTTATGAAAGTTAATTTTTATGAGCAACCGTATTCCTTAGTTATTTCCTCTATAAAAACAGAACTAAATTTGAGAGAAGGGACAACTAACAAAGAGCATTAGCAGGATCCCAAGGCCATCAACTGACGTGATGCATGTAGTACCTGGACTCTTCTGCTCAACACATGGCGCACTGTAGGAATATGCCTTTCCTGCCAGCCCTAACCCCCAAGTCCATGAAGATGAAGGTTGTTAACTCAGAGTAATGGTGGAAGAACCTAATTTCCTAGGATTTATCCCCTTTACAAGTACCTGCATAGAGTTTTTTTGTAGATGGGGTTTCCAGCCTTTGATACTAGCCAAAAGACCGAGGGTTTCTAATTTTGGTTCTTGTCCCATTTTCTCAATCAAAACCAAATTTGAGTCCCATCCTTCTTGCATAGCACCAAATCTTAGATTAATTCTCATCTTCTCCACGCCCACCATGGTGGGAGGGGGACTAGGGGCCATAGAACTGGGATAATTTATCAGAAAAAGAAAAGTGGCTTCCAGCAAAAAGGTTCACCATTAGATGCTGCTAATAAGATATATTTTTATTCCCAGAAAATTCTCAAGGCATCTCAAGTATGTTACAAATAAATGTGGTTAGCCATTTAGGATGAAAATAGTTTGGCACCACTCTTATTTGGCAAGAAAACTGAACCCTATTCCTCATAGCATAAAGCAAGGAGGTGGGACCTTTCAAAACTTTAAATGCTCTTGTGTCTATCTCTGAAGAGATTTAACCAACTCTAGCTGGAAAGTCTAACTAGCTTGTGCTCTATGTAAAACTAACCCTTTAGACAAAGCATAGAAAATGCATTAGATCTAAATTACTAACTCTAATCAGTTACCAATACCTACAGGAGCATTGCTAGGAGGTTGCTAAGGATGTGTCCTGGCTCAGTTAAAACCATGTTTGTTGAGGGTGAGAGCAGATATGAATCTCCCGCATGTCTCCATCTTGTTCTTGTTTCAAACAACTTTCTTTTGGATGAGGCTGACAGTCCTGTCCCTGACAACTCCATGGGCTCCTGGCTCTCAGGTCCTTATATTTCCTCACTCGTTTCACAGACTGGGCAGGGACAACTTGTAAAAAACTAACTCCTTCCTTATAAAGGAACACAGTCTCATTTTATGTCCCAAACAATGTGGAAACGTGTATTGGACACCTAGTGTTCTATTTTAATTTGAATTTCCCCTTCTTTGTTTTCTGGCAACACAAAGCAGACCATCTAGGGGCACAGAGCGAGGCATAAGCCACGGAAGGCTGCCCTGGTTTCTCCCTCCACAGTATCCTGGGAGACACCATGTGGGTTGAGTGGTTCATTTTCTACCTAGAAAGTCTATAAAATTGTATACTGAAATTAAAAAATTTTAATTAGAAGGCAGCATCTGTGAACCTTTTTGCTGGAAGCCACTGTTCTTTTCCTGATAAATTATCCCAGCTCTGTGGCCCTTAATCCCCCTCCCACCATGTCGGAGATTGTAAAACCGGCCTTTTCTCCCCTTGCCATGTGCCTGAAACAGTGAGATGGAAAATTTTCTACTTAATATTTAACAAGCTGCTGATGCCTCCTGGAAAACATTGAGCAATGTTTAATTTAGAGCTACCTCTTTCTTCACAGATTCTCTGGGACGCTGTGTCCTCCCTTCAATCCCTTATTTCCAGAAACCACGTGAATCCAAGCTGGGTACCAGCTTCTGAGCAGAGCGCCGGCTCCTTAATCCCTACCTGATGCCACCCTCTGTTGTCTGAAACAGCATAATCCACCCTAGCAGCCAATTTGGGGAGCCACAGGTAATGAATTTTTTAATTTTAAGTGAGAGCTGTTTTATTATGAGGAAAAAAATCCTGCCTTAGCAAGGAGAGTCTTAAGCTTCCGCTGAGCTGAGCTGGGCAGCAGTTGAATGGAGCAAGCTGTGAAACAACTTTATACATCAGCTAGTGTAGCCATTGGGCCACAGGTGCTCTGCAGATGAAGATGGAAGGTTGGTAAGTACAGGCAGTCAGTAGTCAGGGGCCCTGGGCATGTGCCGAAGCAGAAATCAGCAAGTGAGGTGAAGTGCAGGGGGGCTGTGTCAGTGCAATACACAGAGAGGGAACAGGAGACTCAGGCACTGAGTTTCGAGTGTTGAGATCTGAGGTTTGGTCATGCAAAGCCAGCAAAGATGGGAGGTATAAACTGGACTAAAGCCTGACTTTTCAAGAACACAGAGGTACATGTTACAGGAGGGAGGCTGGGCTGCAAAGCCCCACAAGGGTTACAGTTTGCATTATGGCTTCAATTATGTGCCCTCCAAAGACAATGGAAGTCCTAATACTCGCTACCTATGATTGTGACCTTCTTTGGGAATAGGTTCTTGCAGATGACCGAATTAAGATCACATCATTAGGGTGGTCCCTAGTCCAGTATGAGAGTAGGTGGCTTTAAAAGGGGTAAGGGACTAGGGCACAGTGACAATAAGACAGGGAAAAGATATGTGGACATGAAAATAGACATCGGTGATGTGTCTACATGCCAAAGAATACCAAAAATGGCAAGCAAACCAGAGCAAAGAGAGGGTCAAGGGACAAATGCTTTTTTGAGAGTCTTCAGAAACAACCAGGCATGTTGACACCATTATCTCCAACTTCTAGTCTTCAGAACCATGAAATGGCACAGATACTGAGTCCCTCTGGTTATAGAGGTTTATTTGGGGAGTTTAAACAAAATAATCCAGTACATATATTGCAAGGTATATATGGCTTGTTTTACAATATCCAATCTCTACTGTTAGTTTGTAAAAGATTTAGCCTTGGAATTGACTATATAGCCACTTGAAATAATATCTCTAGCTCCCACTTTGTTAGCCCTATGCTGATAACATGTATAGAAGAGACTTGTAGGAACTGTTGAAAGGCTTTTCAAAAGAAAGCTATTGGAGAAAATTCATTTTATTTATTTTTAACCTACTTTTTTTTTTATTCTTCTGGAATTCGATGAAGACAGGAGTGCAAAGGCCATGAAAGCAGCTTTAGAATAGTGGGGCAGGAAGAATGATGGAGCTAAGGTCCCTGCGGACCAGGGAGCTAGCATATTACAATGACACTGTCTTCTGCTTTTGTGTTGCAGGGGAGAGAAATAAACCACCAGGAGTAGTTGTTCGGTGCTCACAATGACAAGAAGCACAAGCTATTTCCACCAGTATATAGTAGATGCACACGTGAGAAGACTTGGATTCAGAGGTTCATATAAGTCACCCATAACAACAGGGTATTGGTGGTTGGAATCAAAGTTCGTGTTTTCTTCCACACTTTAGCATTTGTCACAAGGCTGTCTGTGTGCCCCTTTGGAGTCCCTGGGGGTGCTAGATAACAATACCAGTTCTCCTCTGCATTTGACCCTTCTGAATTTTAGTTTCTGGATGTGGGATCTGACAATTACCATTTTAATCAGCAACCACATTGATTTTTAAGCACCCTGAGAGTTAAGAGCTTAGTCTGTGCATCTAGCATCTCATGCTCAGGCAGTACACCTGGGTAGCAGATTTGTGGGACCAGAAGCAAGTGTGCCATTGCCTCCCAATTGAACACTGTCCCAGGGACACAACTGGAGTCATGAGAGAACAGGAAAGCAGCATCATCTGTCACATTTGTTGCAATGAACTTCCTCTTGCATTTCCTGAGGAATGCAGGAGAGAGCAGAGAAGTTGTGGCCGAAATAGCTACTACTGTGCACCCTTCCATACTGCACAGACATGGGGGCTGAGGTGGGTGTGGGTCAGTCATGCTGACCCCATTGTCACTGCCACACCATTGCCATCCATCCTCTCTTCCCCTCTTTCAGGCTCAGATCGTCTGTCTCCATGTCCTTCCCTCCGTTCCATCTGAACACTTGCTATCCTTTTGTCCTTATTCACGGGCTACTTCAGCACCTGGACAACACTGTCCAGATCAGCACCTTCTGATTAACTGGCAATATTCTTGCCTTGTGTCCCTTGACTGCATCTTTCACAGTGGTGGTTTCATTGTCTCCACTGCAGCTATCCACTGCTGTCCTCATCCCCTGACCCTAATTAACAGAAACTGTGTCATATCTGAAATCTCTAACAGAAAGAGGTAATTTCCCCAAGGTAACTCTTGGTTCACCCAGATCTTCTGTTTAGCTTCCTCTATGGAGATACTTCATCAGCTGACATGACCTATCAACATCTCTCCTTCTCTACCATTTAGCCTCTCCTTTATTGGATCTGTGTACACCAGCTTGTAACACCTGCTCCATGGATGCAAGCAAGTACTCTCTTGCAAATGTGTTCATCTCTTGCCAATCCAGGAAGAACTCAGTCACCTGCAATGCTTCATCTCACATCTGTCCTAAAACTAGGTGCTGCTGATAAACCCCATTCCCTCAATTCATATTCTTGGACTGGCTAGAACTATGAATGCATAATTTTTAAACAAGTGTCCCAGAGGATTGTCATTGAGCAAAAAATAAAAAGTTCTGTTTCTCTCCTCAGGTTTTCCCCCACTGTCCTATTCAGGGATGACTCATTTGCTTGTGTCCTGGTGACTAGGGATTGTGTTACACTGCCATCTCCATTCTATCTGACATCTTAATCTTCATTATATCTGTGACAACATACAAGCTTGCTCAATTTTTCCCACCATTGGGGAAAAAATGAGTTAGAAAGACAAAAACCAGGCATAAACTATGGAATATCAGCCTTCATTTTGCTCATTTCTATTATCAAACTTCTCAAAAACATTTTATACCAGGCATTCCATGCCCACGCCTGCCAATTGCATTGTAATCTGCTAAAGCTGGATTCTGCTCTGGCGCCAAAATGTTTTTACTCAAGTGATTGGTGCTCCCCATCCTTAGATCAAAATATTCTGCTTATTTTATATTGGCCATGCCTCAGTTTTCTGTATCTATAGTATAGAATCTATCCCGGAGATGCAGCATACTCCATGGATGCAATCATAGAAAAAAGAAATAAGTCCCTATTGTGTGTGAGCTGTGAGATCTTATGACTGTGTTCCACACGTCACATTCTAGGATGTAGACTGATGGACAGCACCTGTCTATATTATGCTCTAGAATATACCATGCTTACAGTTGAGCAAAAGTTCTTGTGCTTTCTATTGGGCAGAGGATAAATGTGCTCACTTCATATTTAAAGTAAAGTTCTGTAGCCAACAGAGTGGGGCTGCACCCCTGTCACCGAATGAGAGGAACAGTACACTGCCAGTCATGTAATAGTGAAGAATAACTTTGTTACAGAAAAAGAGTAGACAGATGATTATGGCAACACTTCATGCTCCACACTGATTCCCACTCTTTGACCCTTCCCTGTCAAACTCAGCCTGCATTCTGGCCTCTCTGATCACTAGATCTGTGTGACTTTGACATCAACTTCCTCAGACAGACCTTTGCTCAGCCTCATACACTTGATTATCAGCCATTTCCATCTTCCTGGTATTCTTCCTGCATACCTATTGCTTATCTTACCTCATCTTACGTTCATGATGAAAAAATAAGAGAAAATCCATCAAGTCCACTGTGACATGAGAACTCTGGGAGTCCTCAATACTGTATTCTTCTTCCTCCCACCCCTTGAATTCACAGGGTGTGTGTTAGAGTGGCTATTAAAATTTGTGCTCTTCTCTTTGTACATCTCCCAATGTGAATGTATTCATTTCTGTGGGTAAACAGATCCTTGGTTATACAAAAAGTTTCAAGCCATCTCATTTGAGTTCCATCAATTTTCTTACTAGACATTTTCAAATATTAACTCACAGTCTGCTCTCTTACTCTCCTTCATTCACAGCAAACAAAGAAGAGGTCTCCCAACCCCCACGAGATACATCTCATGCTTCTCCCCTTGTGCCCACTTGTGGCAATGTTATAACCTTATCGTATTCCACTTAATACCACTTACTAAGGATGCTCTAATGACTGGTGTATGAAAAAGACAAAATAAATTATGTGACTTTATTTTCCCAAAGACAACTGGGGTTACATATGTGTCAAATAGAACATAATAGATAGGGATTTATTCCTCCATTAGCTTTTTAGGTTTGCTTATCTTTCAGAGTAATTTAAATTGAATTGGAAGACAAATCCTTATTTGATTGTTAGGCAATTCAGTGCTATTTATTTTGTGTAAGTTGGTGTGGGATCTAAGTGCACTGTTGTTAAAAGGCTATTTAATGTCACATAGAGGGCCTATTAATTTTTCCAATAAATTGCCGGCATGCCCAGCCACTTGCATACATTTAATAGGGGGAGTCTGTTCTTCTAAAAGTCTGCCTCCATACTTTGTGGTAATGGTTCCATAGCTTATATTCTGTTAGACATACTAAAGCACTGCCTTTGTTATAGGGAGCCCGGAGATAAATCTCAAAGCAAATGTGTGGCTCTGTTAGAAGAGAGTCAAAGAAAAATACCCACTTAGCTAAATGCACAGAGAGTAGGCAGGGCATAGTGCAGCATTTCTAAACCTGTGCTAGACAATTGTCTTTGAATTAATAATGAAAACATGCTAACTGAAGCTGAGTTTTAGCACATCATCAGTAAGGAAGCATACTGTACAGGTAAACAGGCCTTTATCAAGGGCACTGTATACTTTCTTGGTCTGAAAGACCAGAGGTCATAAATTGTTTCCACTTTCTTGTCTATGACAGTCAAATAACACTAATCACTGGTTGTTCTGGGTTGTGGGAATTCCTTGTGGAGAACAGAGACAACAGGAAGAGCAGGGACAAGACCACCAGAATTTTGAATCAAATTTGCTAGAGTTTTGCTGAGTGCTACCCAAAAGCCCATGTATGAAAGCATTGGTCACAACCTCGAGGTGCTACTTGGAGGTGCTGGAACCTTTAGGTGGTGAAGTCTGGTGGAAAGAAGCTAGGTGGTGGAGGAAGGGGGCCTGGCCTTGGAGGGGAACCTCAGATTCTGGCTCATTCCTGACCCCCTTTGCTTGCCTGGTGCTAGGATGAGCACAGTCCTGCTATACCCCAAACCCCCAATCAGGATGTGTTGTCCTACTCCAGGGGCAAAAGGCAGTGAAGCTGTGAGCCAAAATAAACACTTTTTTTCTTTAGATTGATTACATCAGTTATTTTTTTGCAGTAATGGAAATCTAACAAATCATATTTACAAGTGAAAAGTTTTATATAAATCACAAAGAGTGATAGAATACATGGTACATATAATCGGAATTTCTAGCTGACTTTGTTGATAGTCATTCTCCCTGCAGCCAATACAATACCTACCATGGAGTCCACAGTCAAATACTTTTCAAATAAATGAATATTTGAAGGCGTGACAAAGAAATACCAGGGCAGTGGGGCTTTAAAGTGACAGATTAAGGATATAGTTTCTTTTTATCTTTCTAAATATGGTACACCTAGCACAAGACTATTGCCACAGAACAGACAAGAATTTGACAAGATACCTTGTGATGAGAACACAGCCATAGTAGCAATGAACTTTAATGAAAATGAGCGTTTAAGTTAAAAAATCTGCAAAAATACACAATTCCATATTTTGATAATGGAAATAAAACTCGGCCTTTTTAATAAAAATTTTGAAATCTATTAAATTTGAAATCTAGACCTATCTCTTGCTTTGGATACTTCCTGGAATTGATACTTCTCACAAAACCACATGAAATTTCATATGTGCAAACACATTTATGGAACATTTTTATAATAAAAGTTTATAAAATCCAAAGTGTCTATGAACAGAAAACTACATTATGATACATTTACCCATTTGAACTCTATGCAAAAAAATAAAAACTAAAGGAAAAGCTCATTGTATATAAGCTTATTAAAGGAAATCCAAAAGATATCACTAAATGAAAAAAGTTGATAAGTATGGAAAGTGTGCTGCCATGTATTTTCTTTTTAAGCAATATACATACACAGATCTTTGTGCAGGCAGATATGGCTACAACATTGAAGCAGAACCAGCCACAGTAGATTCTCCCAAAGAAGGAGAGTCGGGGAAACAGCCCAGGATAGTGGGGCAAGTCAGATGTCTAACTCAAACTTTTCTTGTAAGATAATCACAGGCATGCATTGCACAACATTCCATCCACAACAAACCATGTATATGATGGCTGTTCTACAAGATCACAGGAGAACTGAAAGATTCCTCTATTTTGTAGGGGCATGGTAGCCATTGCAAAGTGACAAGAGTCTGGCTGGTGACACTGTTGTGAATAAACCTGTACTGACAGTCACATAAAAGGCAGAACCCATGTAATTAAGTACAATTCAAAATATTGGTCATGACAATAAATCTTTCTGGGTTAGGTCTTAGCATACTGTAAGTTGTAGGATATACTCCTTATACTTGGTGAGGAAAGTTTACTGTAAAACAGTGCTCTGTGCCATCACTGCAGCCTTATCCATAGTGTTTCTGGCTTTTCCTCAGCCAAGTGAAGTGATTAATAAGAAACTAAGGTTGTGTTTAAGTGAACTCTGTGGTCTTCACACAATGAAACTAGCACAGTTCTTGGAACAGGTCACTGCTAAGCCCTAAGTCTAAGACATATTGAGTTGCAAGTAGAGGTTTTAAACTCATCTAACAAAAATTTTAAGAGTCAACTTTAAAAAAAAAAAAAAAAAAAAAAAAAAAAAAAAAAAAAAAAAAAAAAACTCTTCCTGTTCAGGCTGGCTGGGAAGATGGCAGATCAATAAGCAGCAAAGTAAAAAGTCCAGTGATGGACTGGACACCATTTTGGAGTTGGGCAGGATAAGCCCAGAACCAAATCTGCAGCCAGCTTCATTCAGCCACTCCTAGTGCATAGTAGATTGGTGAAAATTGCTTGGACTGAGTTTTGCTCCATATGCAATCCAATAGCCAAAACCGAGATTTTCCTGAAACTATCCCTAACTGGCCCATCCATTTGGCACACACTAACATGGTGAAGATTCCCAGTGCTTGACCAGCTCAGAAGGAAGCGGCCAGCCTGCCCCACACATGATTGTACTTCAGCAGTCACCAGCAGACTGGGAAGGCTAGCTAGCCAGCAAGCTTTAGGGAAAATATAACCAATACAGTATGTTCTGGGGATCCCTACTATCCACTCATCTAGAAGAAACTATAAACATGAAAAGAAGAAACAAAAGGAGGCCTCCAGCCTCCAACCCAAGCAGTGCTGTCCCAGGAGAGGTAAACACAGAAGAGATTGGGGGTTGCACACCAGCAGTTTCTGAAGAAACATCATTTGACATAAAGAAATATCTTCATGAAATTATAAAAGAACCTAAAACAGGAATACTAATACAAGTAAAAGAAGATATAAGAAAAATAATAAAAGGAAATGCTAAGCACCTCTCAAGAAGACACAGATGGAAGAATGGAGGAGGATAGAAAAGGGAGGGAAATCTTTGATGAAGAATATTTAAAAAATCTAAAATCCATGAAACAGATTTAAAAAGATTACCAGGAAATTACAAACTCCATTGAAAGCTGGCAAAACTGCTTGAAAGAAACTAAAGATAGACTATCACCTTGAAGACAGGTTTGCAATTTGTGATCATGAAAGGAAAGATCTCCTAAAAATAACAAGGAACCAGGAAGTAACAATACAAAGGCTAGAAGATGACAAGAGGATCTATAATTTATGAATAAAAAATGTGAGTGAAGAAGCAGGGGTAAACACAAAGGAAATACAAAGGCTATTTGTAGAAATAAAGAAAACTTCCCAAGCATAGGAAAAGGAAACAATATTCAGATATATGAGGCATACAGACCTCCAGCCAGCTATACCCAAAATAGATTTATATGCAGACATATAATAATCAAAATCCCAGAAATTCAACACAAGTACAGAATATTAAAAGCTGTTGGATAAAAGAAACAGATCACCTATAAAGGAAAACCCATCGGAATCACAGCAGACTTAGCAACACAAACCATCAAATCAAGAAGAACTTGAAGTATTCCAAGGCCTGAGAGAATATAATCTCCAAAACAGATTGATGTATCCTGCAAAACCTGAAAAAACGTTTATAGACTGAAAGTCAAAATAAGAAAATATTGCTCTATGTGACAGGGAACAGAAAAAGTTGGAGTAGCTCACCCTTCAGCTGCAGATTGGTTGGAAAGACATAACACTTTTATACAATGGAGAACTACTCAGCTATAAGGAAGGAAAACCTTGAGGCTCTTGTAGGTAAATGGATACAATTTGAGATCAACCTCAGGGGTAAAAGATTCAGAATCACTTAGGTAAATAGCCAGTTGCCTCCCTGATCTAAAAACTAAGGGAATGAGTGGGATACAAAATGTACAATTCACCCTGTGAAAGTGAAAGGGGAGGAATTGTCTAAAAAGGGAAGTCAGAGGATATTGTTAATCTTGTATCATGATTTGAAACCCACATTGTCTTCATCACTGTTTAGTTTGATTATATTCTGTTCCAGTTTGTCTATTTGTACTAGATTTGATGGTACAGACAGCTATTCCAAAGATAGCAGGATATACTATAGTATCAATTTTTAATTTCCTATTAACTTAATCTGAAGCCCTGTATTGCTTTCACTGTCTTGTTTTGACTGATTTTATTGGAATCTCTTATATATGATATTATTAAGTCTGAGAGCATAGGCAACTACTCTGAAGACAATAAGATTCACTGTGATACCTATTCTGGTTTGACTATTACCCTCTTTTGAAGTCGTATAATGTCTCCAGTGTTTTGTTTTTATTGATTTTGTTCTGTACTCCTATGTTCAATTTTATTGTGCCTGATGATGTGGACAATTCTACTGAAAATAACAAGTGACATCATGGTAACCATTGAAGATCACCTTGTATTTTGGGCTTAAGTCATGTACTATGTCCATCTTATTGCTTGACTCACCCTATTTTGTTTTTTTCTCATGCAGTTTTATTCTCTTAAAAAATCTTCCTGTTCATTAAAGATTTGGGGTGGAATATTTTGTGTGTGTGTGTGGGGGGGGAGTGCTTGAGTCTGAATATCCAATCCTTTATTATTAAAATTTTGAAACAATTCTCACTATCACTAATTTGCTCAACCTGAACGTGAACTTGTGGTCCTATCCTGGCCTCCCAGATTGCTGGAATTATAGGTATGTGCCACCACAAAAGGCTTGGAGGGTTAACATTTAACTACTACTATGGTACAAATTTCCACTGGACTTGTTCATTGGTTGTGTTCATTCCTGTGGTCTTTCCCTCTGTAGTGATAGAAGGAACTGCTGTTGCTTGGGGGGCCCTTAGGAATGGGTTTTAGTGTCCTA